AGAGGAGGAGAGAGGGAGGGGGAAAGGGAAAAAGGAAGGTGGGAGATGTTAGAGTAGACCAATTAGAAGATCATTACAATAGTCTAGACAACAAATAAGGGTTTGAAACCAAGGTGGTAGCAGTATGGGGCCATATAGGGAACAATTTCTAAAACAGAATAGGACTTAATGACCAACAGGAGGAAAAGGGAAATGGAAGGTCTACCTCCCCTTAAGCCTGGCTTAGACTCACTACACTGGGTTCTTCTCAACTGCTGTACCTATGTTATGGCTGCTTAATCTTTTAAAATTGAGGTATAATTGACATATTATATTATATTAGTTCATATTATAGTAGTTCAGGTGTACAACATAATGATTTGGTATTTGTATAAACTGTGAAATGACCACCCAATAAGTACAGTTACCATCCATTACCATACAAAATTACAATTTTTTTCTTTTTCTTCTTATGATGAGAACTTTTAGGATTTATTCTCTTGGCAACTTTCAAGTACACCATAATATTGACTATAATATAATTATCATGCTGTACATTACATCTCTATGATTTATTTATAATTGGAAGTTTGCACCTCTTGACGCTCCCTTCACTCATTTCTTCCTCTTCCAGCAACCACTGTTCTATTCTCTGTAACACAACATTCATATGGGCTTTTTTTTTTTTTACATGTTATCACAAAGTCTTACTACTTATTCACTTCATATATCTTGTGTCTTATCTCTGCCACTAAATTACAAACTTCTTGATAGCAAGATCTATGGCTTTTTTAAAACTGAGTTTTGTTTTGTTTACAACTTACAAAAGCTCCAGGTATACACTCACCTGTGTCTTAAATGAAGGCTCTTAATAATACTTATTGAATAAGAAAAGCCTAGGGTATCTAATACTACAATCGAAAATGCTAAGTTGAATAGCATTATTTTCCAAATGTTCTGTCCATGAGCCTTTTTTAAAAACCTCTTTCATGGTGTACACCACAACATAATTTCTTTTTATATTCCCTGTATTACCTAAACCACAGCTGCACGCATGCGTGCACACACACACAGTATTTGGGGGAGGTAAGAGAATCTTACTAAAAGATGATTGATAAATCTTAATATATCATATGTTTGTTCCTATATAAGAGTAAGGAGTAGTTAGGAGTTGAGGATTAGAAAAACAGAAAGCATGAAACTATGACAACTACCACCTCTAGCCACCACCGTTACCACCATCATCTTAAAAGTAACATTACAAAAGGGGTAAGTAAGGTGGGGGTGGGTGGCGAGGAAAAAAACAACATAGATATATTACCTAACAGCAAGGGAAAAGATGCTCAGCCTGATTTCAAAAGCATATAAAAATAACTTGAACCTTTTCTATTATCGCAGAGAAAACATATGAGCTCATGTTATAATGGAAACATTTCAAGGCTATTTGGAGATTTTACCCACCACGACACCTCTGAAGTATAATCAATTTCAAAACAAACTACCATGTGTTCTTGGTCAAACTGTTAGACATTATCATTGCTATTCAGATATACAACATAAATAATCACTATGGCAAAGACAAACACCAACAGCAAAAGATCTTCATGACTTCATGATTCTTACCTGTTCACTCTTCTAGGACACTTGTCTGGTTTAATATCTACCTCATAAAGGTAGACATCAATCTTTGGAATTTCAACTTGAAAACAGTTAGCCAGTAATTTAATGGGTTTGCCCATAGAGCCATAGCCAGGTCTTCTGGGCACCATGAGTAGGGGCTGGGCCCCAACGGGTCCTGCCAGGGAGGGGGGGGGGGAAAAAAAGAGTAACACTGTTATAAACTGCATTTGATAATCCCGTCAATCAGAGTATGTTAGAATTTTAAGTATAGTTGATCATGGCGTTGAAGCTTAGTGCTGAAAGATGACAATTTCTAACACTTCAACTTCTTTCATCCCAATTTACTCTCCTTACTAAAAAAAAAATACAAACAAACTGACTACTGACTACTTCCAGAAAACTGTTTCAGATGGAGTAGAAAGAAGGGGAGAGCAATCACACAAATCCAGGTGAGTAAGAACAAATATAAATCACACCTAAAAAGTGTGAGAACAGCAGCAAACTTAAAGAGAGTAGAAGGCAATAGTCAGGATAAGAACAAATGAACAAAATGAAAACAATACACAGTAAAAAGGATCAGTAAAGCACAAAATCAATTATTTGAAAAATAAAATCTTTAAAGTCAAGGCAACACTGATTTTTAAAATAGGAGAAAAAAGGCTTACATAACCAATATAAGTGAAAAGAACATCTACAGATACTGAAGACATAAACACTGTCAATTAATTTGAAATTTTGATGAAAGAAACGAAATACAGCTTACCGACACACAAAAATATATAAAATTTGAAAAGTCTTCCATTGGTAGAAATGTAAAATGTTGCAGCTGCTTTGGAAAACAGTATGGTGGTTCCTCCAAACATTAAAAATAAAATTACCATATGATCCAGCAATTCTACTTCTGGGTATATACCCAAAAGCATTGAAAGCAGAGTGAAGTGGTAATTGTATACCTATGCTCATAGCAGCATTAGTCACAATAGCCAAAAGGTGGGAGCAACCTAAATGTCCACTGATGGATGAATGGATAAACCAAACGTGGTACATGCATGTAATGAAATATTAGTTAGCCTTAAAAATGAAGGAAATTCTGACACATGCAACAACACAGATGAACCTGTGGACATTATGCTAAGTGAAATAAACCAGTCACAAAAAGACACTGTATTATTCCACTTATTAATACCTAGAGCAGTCAAATTCATGTAGTCAAAGTAGAAGAGTGGTTGCCAGGGGCTGAGGGAAAGGGAGAATGAGGAATTGTTGTTTAATGGGTATAGTTTGTTTTGCAAGATGAAAAGAGTTCTGGAGATTGGTTGCACAACGATGTGAATGTACTTAAATGCTACTGAACTGTACATTAAGAAATTGCTAAGATGGTAAATTTAACATTATATATATTTTACCAGTTAAAAAAAATCTAAGTGATATCTAGCATTAAGTTTTTAAAGTTCGAAATGTAGCTTTGTTAAACAAAGCTCAAACAATAAATTCAGTTAATAAATTATAACTATTATCCAAATGAACTTACATTTAAAATATCTGAAAAGTCCTGTAACTATTTGAAAAAATTATATCCACAATTAAAAATATTTGCACACACTGAAAGAGTCTAGATCCAGATGGCTTCACTAGAGAATTATACCAATTATTTAAGGAAAAAATACCAAATTTCCTCAAATTCTTCCAGAGAATAGGAAAAAAGTAAACATAACCCAATACAACTTATGATGCCAGACAACCCTGATACGAAAATCTGACAAGATTATGAAAAAAATCATAGGACAATATCATTCATAAACATTCACGTAAAAATCCTAAACAAAATGTTAAGAAATTAAATCTGCTAATATATCAAAAGGATTATGCATCATGACCAAGATGAGTTTACATCAGAAATTAAAAGTTGGGTTAACAATTTTTTCACTGCATATAAAAATTAAAATTAAAGTGCTACATATATCATTTATTTTTAAATTTTGTTTTTATATATTTGTAAAATCTCTTCTGAGGGCATAATCTTTCCTGATATGCTAGACTGAGATAGGTAACACTGAGTAAATCTAGACTAGGTCACAGTTCTGGCTCTGCCGTTTATCTAACCACTTGACCATAAAGGTCAAGCCCTGAAACTCTTATTTCCTGATCTAATAAAATTAAAATGGGAGTAATACTTGATCTGCTTCTTTTTTCAACAAATCTCGTCAGGCTCAATTTAGAAAATGTACAAGAGCAAAAATTTATCAAGCACTTACCATGTCTCAGGCAATGTGCTAAATGCTTTATACGCATTACCTCATTTAATCTTTATACAAACTCTATAATGATTTTATTGATGCCTAAAATTTCATAGCTAGTAAGTAGAAGAACTGGGATTGGAACCCACTCTGTTGGGGTCTCTATTTTGTTCCATTGATGTATATTCGTCTATCCTTTTGCCAATAACACACTGTCTTGATTACTATAGTTTTATAGTAGTAAGTCTTGAAGTGAGGTACTGTCCATCCTACCACTTTATTCTCCTTCAATGTTGTACTGCTATTCTGGGTATTTTGCCTTTCCATATAAACTTTAAAATCGGTTTGTCAATATCCACAAAATAACATGCTGGAATTTTTATTGGGATTGTGAAAATATATAAATCTAGTTAGGAAGAACTGACTTCTTTACAATACTGAGTCTTCCTATATATGTACATGGAACATCTCTATTTAGATTTTCTTTCGTTTCTTTGATCAGAGTTTTGAGTTTTCCTCATATAGATCTTTTACATATTTTGTTAGATTTATAGCTAAGTATTTCTTTTTGTGTATTGTGCTAATGTAACACATTACTGTAATTTTAACTCCAAATTCTAATTGTTCATTGCTGGTCTATAACTCAAGACTTACTATAAGGCTACAATAATCAAGACAGTGTTGTACTGGTCAAAGAACAGACAAATAGATCAAGGGAACAGAGCAGATGGCCCAAAAACTGACCCACAGAAATATAGCCAACTCATCTTTGACAAAGGAGCAAAGGCAATTCAATAGAAAAAGGAAAGTCTTTTCAACAAATGGTACTCAACAAGTGGATATCCACATTAAAAAAAAAATCTACATAAAGACTTTACACCTTTTTCAAAAATTAATTCGAACAGGCTAAGAGAACTAAATGTAAAATGCAAAACTAAGAACCTCCTAAAATGTAATAGTGAAAAACTTAGGTGGCCTTGGGTTTGGTGATGACTTCTTAGATAGGACACCAAAAGGACAATCCATGAAAAAAAAAATTGAGGTTTTCATTAAAATTAAAAACTGCTGTTCTGTGAAAGAAAATGAAATTATGAGCCATGGACTGAGAGAAAATATTTGCAAACGTGTATCTAACAAGGGGTTAATATCCAAAATATATAACGAACTCATACAATTCAACTAAAAAAAACAACTGATTAAAAATGGGAAGAGACCTTGGCCTAATCACTTTGGAAATGGTTCCCTTTCGAGTTGCAGCTTACAACAACAACAGCAAAAAAGTGTATGAACTACTATGACTCTGAACACCATGAAGACTTTGAACTTATTTCATAAACATGAATGCATAAACTTGCTCAAGATGGCCAGAAACCTCGTGAAGGTTCACGGTTCCCAAGGCCTGGACTGTGCTCATGGAATACTACAAATCCTTGAAGAAAGCTTAAGCTAACCAGTCCCTCCACTTTTGACAATTTACTGAGTAAATGGAGGGGACCACATAGTTACTGTTGGCACTGTCTGTCTGGACACTTTCTAAAAACAGACCATTTTCCTTAACTAGCATTAGTTTTGGTCTGCTTTATGAGTTCTATTTTGAACTAATGTAATACATTGCTGGTTTTAATGTATCGTTTCCATTTATCATAGTTAATATTCCTACAATTTTAAAATCTTGTCTTTTTACATATTTATACTTCTGTCTCATGATTTTTTTTGAGTTGTTACATTAGTTGTATACATAGTGAATCTCACTTTTCATATCTTGAAAAAAGGAAAAACCCACTAAACAATAAACTTGGCTAGACCTTGTTTTGGGAATTTTATAAGCAATTAGATTTTTTCCTACATTGAAAATATAAACTTCCTTCCTTCTTTCCTTCCAATGAGCTATTGATATGTTATCTGTTATAATCTAAAGTACTCCTATGACCTGTGTAAGCTCTGAATGAACTTTCTTTATTCAATAAAAATTAAACTTTTTGGCTTCTTAAAAAATAACTTTATGCTATTTTATTTACATGTGATTACTAACAAGACTGGCTTAAAAATAATATTTTGTTCTTTATACCCCATTCTCTTATGAAACTCATTGCCCCCATGGACAATTTAAAAAAAAAATCAAAAACATAAAAGTTCACCTCTCTATTCTATACATATTTACTTAACAATTTTGTTCAAGTTTTTATAGAACGTAGATTAATTAACATCAGCTACTACACTTAAGTAATTCATAATATATTGGGGGATATCCCATCTTAGTAATTAAGGAAAAGTCATATTAACATTAACAGCTAACTTGTATTAAGTATTAAATATTTGACACACATTAGTTGATATCTCACAACATAACTTTTGAGGCATGTACTATATTATACTAAGGAAACTGAAGCCCAAAGAGGTTAAAAAACATGTTCATAGTTAGAAGGTGGCAAAGCCAAGATTTGCAAATAGGCAATGTGATTTCAGCGCCTCCATTTTCAAATCAACACACTAAACTACAAACATTTGCTGAAAGTCTATTGTCCATTAGGTAACTATTTATTGACTCATTATTTTGTTCAACAAATATTTACAGATGTCTCTAAGTGCCAAGCGTTTTTCAGGCTCAGCTGAATAATAATTTTAATAATAATAATAAAGACCTTGTCATCACAAAAGTTTGATTGGAGTGATGGGAAACAGAATATATTGTATTTCTTTTTTGCCTATCAAGTATTATGAAGAAAAATAAAATAGGTTAAGAGAATAGAATGTGTGTGTGTGTGTGTGTGTGTGTGTGTGTGGTGGGGGCGAGGAACAAACTAAGTAGTTAGCCATTTATATAGGTTTGTCAAAGAAGGCCTCTTTATTTTTTTACTTGAAGATCTAATTGGCTTTATTAATCAATTCATGAATCGGGCAGCATCTCATCTAGCAAGCAGAGGGATACTCCAAGAAG